TAATTACTCGCTATCGCGTGTGCTTTTCTTATCAGCAAGGACACATTCTTCTCAGGCAGAGCCCGATCTTTGGGAAGACACTGTGCCATTTGTTGTCCCCGTTCCCCGGCCATTCTTGTCATCGCCGTATCAAAGAGTGCTCGACTCCTTTTTCCAACCGCAGTCCAAAGTTTCTCCCTTTCGCACAAAAAAGCGTAGGACACCCGAATCTTAGCCCCGACAGCCTTGAGCTTCCCGATAGTCCGGCTCCATTTAGAGAGGTTTCTCCCGTCTATTAGGCTCTCACACAATTCAAGGATAAGATTTGAATGTGCTGTCATCAAATCGTTTTCGTTCGGTATTAATCTGATGATTTTAAACGTTCGTTTGCAACTTTTGGATGTTTCGAATGTCTTTCCAGGTACAAAACAGTGACACTCTGAACCTCCGAAATGGTTTAGACACATTTTTCTTTTGTATAATTTCAGCAAACCGTGCAGCAGCTTGTGTGTAATTTATTTATTTATTTTATTTACCTTTTGAATGTCTTTCAAGGTACAAAACAGTGACACTCTGAACCTCCGAAATGGTTCAGACACATTTTTCTTTTGTATAATTTCAGCAAAGTGTGCAGCAGTGCGTGCGTAATTTATTGATTATTTTATTTACCTTTTGAATGTCTTTCAAGGTACAAAACAGTGACACTCTGAACCTCCGAAATGAAGCAGAGGCTGGATTTAAACACATTTTTCTTTTGTATAATTTCAGCAAACCGTGCAGCAGCGTGTGCGTAATTTATTTATTTTTTATTTACCTTTTGAATGTCTTTCAAGGTACAAAACAGTGTCATTTGGGAGATAACAAGTGATGCAACCTTTGAAATATCCACAAATTGGAAGTGTGTAAAAGCCCCAAAAAACTGCCGTTACTTTGCAAAACAACATTTTTCTGTTACCAAATTAATTCAATGATGAAATACTATGTTACAGAGCAAAATACCGTTTATTAGTTCAGTCTTTGATCACATCCTGCTGATCTGTAATCCGATTAATCAGCTTTAACCGTTTAAGGTGATATAAAAATGTGTTAATTTGCTACCTTTTTGTGTGTAATTATTGTTTGCAGCATTGAAAGTGTGACTGTTCGATTCGACACTTTCACTAAACATATTAAATCTCTTGTTATTTGAGATATTCTAAATCAAATTTAACTAAACTATATAAACAAAATGCATTATAATCCATACGGTTTATTTTCTTCTGTAAAATCTGGGAACACACCAAATGCCCGTCACCATAAAGGCTCAAGATACTTCTAATTTTTGGTGTCAACTCTCAGTCATTCAGGTCAGGGTGAGGAATAAAGGAGGAATAAAGGAGTAAAGGAAAGTGGACATCTTATTGAATCTTAAAGGCGTTTAGACTCTCATTTAGAGATGGTTTAATCCCGGCCTTTTAGAGCATGTGTTAAAGTCTAAAGTTATTAATCTACTTCCGTAGTTGTCAGACTCATGTTGAACAGGGATTTACTCTGATAACAACTTAATGGTTATGACACAGACCTGTGGGTTACAGATGCTAATGCTAATGCTAATGCTCTGATAACAACTTAATGGTTAGGACACAGACCTGTGGGTTACAGATGCTAATGCTAATGCTAATGCGGGACCGGACTTTAAAAAAAAAAACTGGATTTGGAGTCTGGATCTGCATTTTTTTGCAAATATAGGCAGCCGATCCGATCCAAATATCAGATAGGAACAAGCTTACTCTCAACCCAAAGGATACTTCTGTTATAAATAAGAAGTTCTAAGCTTTTGGAACCACACTGGCTCAGATAATTGAACAAAACCTGGGTCAAGATCCAAATTCTAGAAAGTGGTCTTTTGACAGAGCATATTAACTTAGACTTAGACTTCCTTTATTGTCATTGCACAAAAAAAACAAGGTGAATTTTGACGGCGAAATGTTGATTACTTGGATACCAGTGTAACAGCTAAGACCTTATTCCTGCACAATAAATATGTATTGTATTTTATTCTATAACTAAGCGCTAAGAGCTAGCTATATACAGGGTAAAGAATTATATTTATACATACAGGACTGTCTCAGAAAATCAGAATATGGTGATAAAGTTCTTTATTTTCTGTAATGCAATTAAAAAACATGAAATGTCATACATTCTGGATTCATTACAAATCAACTGAAATATCGCAAGCCTTTTATTGTTTTAATATCGCTGATTATGGCGTACAGCTTAAGAAACCCAAATATCCTATCTCAAAATATTAGAATATCGGATTTTTGAGTTTTCTTCAGAATCCAGAATGTATGACTTTTTCTATTTCATGATTTGTAATTGCATTACAGAAAATAAAGAACTTTATCACCATATTCTAATTTTCTGAGACAGTCCTGTATATATTGCATGGACTTTTTTGCAGCGAAACATCAATAAATATGTGTGTGTGAGAAATAAAAAATGCCAATAAGTTTGAGGGGGAAGAGAAAGAGGATCTACACTAACAGAAACTATCAGGAGTTTGGAAATATTTCTCTGTTTTTATCAAAACGGGGTTTTCGAGTTATTCCTGTTCTGCTTTACCTGTGACAGCTAAAGAAGAGGTGGAGATGCTGTTTGGGGTACTGGATCTTCCCTCCACAGAGAAAAGGCAGTCGGCCCCGGACTCGTTCTTTACGGTCACCTCGGGACCGGCCAAAGCCACCGGACTACAAATCCCAAGCTCCTCCTCCTGAGCCTGCTGCCTCCTCAGAGCCACCTGAGAGGGAGG